CCGATCAACAATATCCTCAGAGTCAGCAGTTCCCCACCCAAACCATGCACAGCCTGGGACAGGGCACACTTTTCTGAGTCATTGAACGATTTGCCAAAACCTCCATTCAAAAGTTCCTGTCCATGTCCTCCCTGAATTCCTCCCATGCCCGAGTTTTTGCATTCGCAGACACCAAAGCTGCGYTCCATCTGGCCATGCTGTACTGGAGTTTAGGTCAGTCCTAAAAAAATTTGACCTGACCCAAGCCTGAAGACATTGTGTTTGAACCTGATTCAACCTTACTAGTTAACTCTGATTAGAGGCCCGAGGCTGAAGTCCTGACATTTTTTAAGAAACGTTTTTATGTGGGTTGTGATCCCCATTTTTTGGGCTTTAAAAACCTAAAAACCTGATCCTTGTATCAAATGCTGTCCCTAATTTCATACAGGCCTCAGCTTGTTTCCGCCCTTGCAGGGACAAACACACCTGTGGGTGAGTTTGTGGCTGTAGAGCAAAGGCTGCAGGTCAGCAACACAAGCTTCATGATGCTGAAAACAGTTTGGTCTGGTCTGATCTGACAGCAGGAGCTGGTTGTTAAATTAACACGAAGAGCTACTCACAGACATGCACCTGACATCCATGTGAACAAATGGCTGTGGTTTATCAGGTGAGCTGCGTGACATTCAGCAGGAAAAATTATGATTTAATCCCTGTGACACAATCTTTAAGTTATATTCTTACACTAGAAAATATTTACATTTATTGCAGTAGAAAAAATATGTTAGAATTTACTCCAGTGTAATGCAACTTCCCAACTTTGTGGATGATTATTGGGATGAATATTTATACATGCATAAATGCAATAATCTTTTAATGCTTTCATATTTAGACCACCATAGATTTTCTTACTGTGATGGACTTGTGATCTGTCCAGGGTGTACCCCACCCCTCGCACAGTGATTGCTGAATATGGGCACCAGTGACCCCTGTGACCCTGAAAGGAAGAAGTGGGTACATAGGATGGTGGATGGATGGATGGATGGATAGTTTTTTAGCAAATCAGATAACAGCGGAGCACATTGTGCTGTGCTTCACTTTTCCTCAACAGGGTAAACTTAGACTATAATCAGTAGCTTAAGACAATTTTAGATRGTTCATTCTTGTTTAGTTTTCTCTCTGCTCTAGCTATAGGTTATTGTAGGCTTATTGAAAACGTGCCATGGAAACCTGACCTGACAATTAAGCATATAATTTCAGCCCAAACTTGACCCAAATTTGGGTTGGGTTTTTGAGTCAGACTTGTACTCGAGCTATAAATTTAAACTCTACGCTGTACTCGTCAGCTGCTTCAGGAGTCTTCTTAGAAAGCTGAGTCCTCAAGGAATTCTCCTTCAGCTTGACTGCCTRCATCACCAATGGTGTCCACCAATGGGTCCTTTAGTTGCTGCTGTGACAGGCACCAATGATCTTTGGGCCACAGCTCCTGGAAGCCACGTTTGCAATGGAGGCCCTGCACATGGCCCATTTGGCTGAATGTCCTCGACCTCCCTCGGGACATGGAAAAACCAATCGGGAAGGTGAGAGCCAAAGATTACACAGACCATTACCATTTGATGCTCCCAGTTCACCCTCACTGTACATTTGGGTTTACTAGATCTGTCTGGCAGCCTCCCCTTCCACCGAATGGTAAAAGGTAAATGGCTTAAACTTATATAGCGCTTTATCAAGCCTATACAGACTCCAAACTACTTTACACTCCAGCCATTTACCCATTCATACTCACATTCAAACACTGATGGTGATAAGAGTCTAACTTATCATCAGGTGGTGATCGGTTCAAAGTTCTGCCCCTTTCTTCACCCAAGTGTTCAAGACATAGGGCCTGAGGTCAGATGACACAACTACAGTATCAATCATTGACCATTGGCCTAAGGTGCCTTTGTACCTAGTACACTTATGGATCACTTTATGCTCAAACATGGTGTTTGTTATGGATAATCTATGCCTAGCACAGAAGTCAAATAATAGAACACCATTTGGGTTCAGATCTGGGACAGTGTTCCTTGCAGGCACCCCCTTCCAGATAACTCCATCACTGGGCATTCAATGGGTACTGAAGTCATCCAGTAGTACAAAGAAATCCCCATACAACACCCCTTCCAAGACACCATCCAGAGACTCCAAAAAGATTGTGTAATCTGAACTGATCTTCATAGCACAAACACAAACAACAGTCAAAACTGCCAGCCTGAAGCCGCAGAGGTGCAACCCTCTTGTTTACTGGAGAAAACTTTGTAAAAAGATTGTTTTGGTTTTACAAGAATGAGTAAAACAGAAGAATTTATTATTTTAGTACGCTTTGGGGACAGAAAAGAGAAGTTTTTACTTCTTCCCATTCCTTTTCAAATATGTTTAATTTTGTTATCTTGTTATATTTTTGTTTTTTAATGTTTTATACATGTTTGAAATAACTTGAACACAGTGGCATTCATCTGCGGGCTTTTGAGTATTCCCACACCCACCTGACGCCTCTCTCTCTCTGGGCAACTTCAGAGTAGAAGAGAGTCCAGACTCTTTCCAGGAGTTGGGTTCCAGATCTGAAACTGTAAGTAAAAGTAAGCCCAACTATAATCTCTAGTTTGTATCACTCAACCTCACCATCACACACAAGCTCTGGCTCCTTACTCACCAGTAAGGTGATGTCCCACATCCCGAGAGCTAGTCTATGCCCCCAGGAATTGGCACCGTCAGGGACCCTACCTCACTCATCCTGGCATGCATCGACCCAACCTTGACGATCCTCCCTGCAGGTGGTGGGGCTATGTAAAGGAGGCATCTACAATTCTTTCATGCTTAGCCTAGTCGAACCCCAGAAGCCAAGGCTTGACCACTAAACACTCGCCAGTGAGCCCCCATCCAACCCAACCCCACCCAACCCTGCAACCATTTTCTAGGTGAAGTTTCCTGATGTGCCTGCTGTTTCATCCATCAAGAATTTTGATTTGTTCTTAGTCTGACCTCTCCCGCAAGGCCCGTTTTCCATGGGAGACTCTACTGAGGGTTAAAGCCCCAGACAATATATCCCTGGGTTACTCAAACCCCTCCACCTTGTTAAGGTGGGGATTATGTGGAGCGGGCTTCCTAAACATTTAATAATAATAAAAACATGCAGCATAACTAGCATGACATAGTTGGTATCAATATGTCTAAGCAAGTGGGCCCAGATTATGAAATTCAATTTCTGTCAAAAGTTTATGACCTTTGGCCAGGGTTATCCAATCCTGATCCTCAAGGGCCACCATCCTGCATATTTTAGTGGTTTCTCTCATCCAGTACACCTGATTCAATGACTGAATTACCTCTCCAAGTTCACCAGCAGCCTGCTAATAACCCATTTATTCAAATCAGGTGTATTAGAGTAGAGAAGCCTGTAAAACATGTAGGGAAGTGACCCTAGAGGATCAGGATTAAATAAACCTGGCCTAAGGTCATCACATTTTGGTAGAAATTGCATTTCATAATCTAAGTTATGCTGTCAATAGTAGGCTAATCATCTAAACAGGAATCACTGTGATTATGTGACCCTTATGAGTTCCTTAGGGAGGGAGAATTTTATTATCAGAGCCCACATCATGTTTCTAGATACATAAAAGTAAAGACCCCCACACTCGGGTGTACTTTGCTCCACAGAGGTCCGTGCAGACTGGAAGCAGATGTCCACCGGACAGGTCTGCGCAGAGATCAGTTTTTTTACATCCGCGTCCACAGTGTCGCACAATAAACTGCCTGCCAAGTTCATATCGAACTGTTTTGGATGCAACACCAAGCAGATGAAGTTGAGAATCTGGGTCATTTTATGAATTAAARGGAGTGAAATTATTATATAATCTCACAGAGGAGATTAGAAAACATAGAATCTATAACTACATCAATGAGGGAATATAAGGACTTTCAGAGAGCAATACATTTGTGGAAGGATAGCTTAGATCGGTGGTAAGGTAAGTTCTTTTCTTTTGTTGTTTTAAACCTAAAATCAAGCTATCTCCTTGTCTGTTGCCATGACTGAAATTTTGAGAAGTTAAGGAATTTGTCAGGCAATCAGTACACTCAAATATGAAATCTCAACCATTTATGGACAATATGCGCAGAGTCTGCTTGGCTCATGGACAGTACACAGTACGCCCAAGTATGTGGGAGCCTTAAACCAGGAAGGAAATATTTATAAACCTGATTAATAGGCCTGTATAAATATGTTAAAGTTCATGCAAGTGTAAATTTCTTCTTTTGCTCATTATCTTTTTTAGAACTAACAAACTAGGCACATGCACATACACACCATAGAACCATTTAACTTTCTGGCCTAAGCCTGTTACTTGTACTTGTGGCTCACAACCACCTACCACAGAGAGACAGTATAAATAAATTATACATTTCTTAAATCCTTAGAGTCCTATGAGTATTGCAGTTATTGTCTCTTGTGTCCCTAATGCCTCTGGGTGTCACTGAGTTAAAAGAAAATATTTAATTTGGGTGAAAATTATGCAAAAATGTGTATTATTTGTTGTTTAAAGCATTCTAGTGACCTCTGTGTTGATCAGAGAGACACAAATAAGGGCTTAAATGAAAGCCCAGAGGGTTCCCTTTAAAATGATACCAAACTCAGTTTATAAATCTTTGACCAATGTCCGTATCATGAGCCTAAACTAGCTATACAAAAGTGTCAAAAACAGAAGTTTTCTTAACGGGTTATTAACTTTATTAGCTGATAACTGTGATTTAGCTCCCATTCTGGAAGGGCTATCATACCAAAATATCAGACATGTACCTTTTCAAAAATTGTGATGAAGCTTTGCCAACCTGAAATGGACCAAAAAGTGATCTGGCCCATGGACTATTTGAATATAAACCCTCTTGTGGAATTTATGCATGTTCATTGCAAACTTTAATCTTGTAAAGTTCTGGTATGAAAATAGATATTTTTTCTGTAACTATAGTTAGTTTTATCTCTGTTTCCTCTTCAGGGGCCCTGAAGAAAAACCTGACAGCTGAGCAGATAAGAAAGGACCTGATCACATTAGGTACATATCCAAACTGGTAGTTTTAAACACTTCTGTCAGATAATCATTCATATTCATGTCATATGTTGACAAGCTTTTAGTAAGTTGTGTTACCATAACTTTTTTTTTTACTTATGTGAAGTATTTAAAAAAACAAACTGCCTTATGTGTCCATTTCTCAGGACTAAACGAAGATAAAGCAACTTTGTTTTCACAGCAGGTAATTTGATTTAGGTTTATTTATTTTATTTTATTTTATTTTATTTTTTAGAATTTAATATGCAATGCATAACATTATAAAATACTCATGTTACTTGTTGTCTCACATTTGGGCTTCATAAAAACATTAAACATTTTTGACCCTGAAGTTTTCTGGTATTGCCTCCAATGAGAAGCTGCCCTGGCTGGTGAGCCACATCCCCTAACTTCCAACCTTCCAATCCAGACTGCCATGCCTCCAAAGTTATCATAAGACTGCATTTATAACACAACCCATTATTGTGAGTCCCAACCTCAGCCCTAATGAAAATTTGTGGACTAATAAAAAGCTGGTCCATGAAAAAACTAATTTAGCGAAGAATGGTGTCCAAATATTCKTTTGGAAACATGTCAGAAACGTTGAAAAAGCAAGGTGCAACTTTCTAAGGATCATTTAACTAAATATTAGTGTGTGTATAATTCTGAKCATGTGTGGATTAGAAAAAAATACTCAATAAATTCAACCTTGTTTGTAAACTTTACTGCAACTGGTGGAATGCCACATATCTTTGAGTAAAACTCTTTGCAAGTGTAAGTTTTTCCTTCTTCTTTTTCTGAAATCCTGTTGCATTTGGAAAATGTGTGATAAACCCAAGAGTCTGACTTTTTAACTTTATGTTGCAGTGGGGAGAGCACTACGCTGCATTGTCCAGACATGCTATTGGACAGATATTGTCAGTCAACCAGTTGGTTGACATGGAGTGGAAATTTGGAGGTAAGACAAATGAAAGCCAAAAATGTGACCAATTATAGATTTCAGTTCTTTTTCTATCCTGTCTTACACTAAGTAATGATTTAACAGATCCATTGCTGTTACTAATTACATTTGCTTTGGTTTTATTCCATTTTAATGCCTTACAGACAAAGTATACATATCAGGCATTAATATTTACTCCAACAGTTTTATGATTTATGAAGACTGAGAGATGATAGAAATGTTAATACACCAGGCCCCAGAGTCATCAGTTTTTTATCTGATTTTTACATCCTCAGGTTATCACAACAAATGTGTAACCATCATCTCATAAGTGAAGTGGACACATTTTTCAGAGGTCTATTGAGTTATTTAGCATCCTCTTTAATTAAATCACACCTCTCCTTAGTGGCTAAAAACACGAATAACAGCACCAGGAGACTGTCTTTAGTTCTTTAAACCAGTGTTTCCCAAAGTTGGGGTCGGGACCCAAAGTGGGGTCCCGAAATATCAAGGTGAGGTCCTGAAA